CTAGTGCCTGCTCCCCGCTGGGAGCTGCTGAATGCAGCACAGCTTCTAAAAGCATGCAGTGTCTGGGACTTGTGTGTGATATTTTGGACTGCCACTGAGTCTGTGGTTAGTCTGGCTGTGTTCCTAAGTCACACTGAAATCCAGCCCAGGTTTGGCTTGCTTCCCAAGAGTGAAAATCAAAGAAAGGAAACCATGCTACAATTTTGGGGTGATTCTACCAGGCTGAAGCTCTCTCCACAGCTGCGCTAGCTGAGGTGGTGCTTTTTGGTGCTGCTCAGCAGTTCTGGGGAGGAGGGGAAAGCTCTGTGTCTGTGGGCATACAGATGGGGGCACTACCAGGGCTGCAGTACTTCTGGTGTCTGCTATTTATTGAACTATGGAAGAACAGAATTGGTTTTGGCATCAGGAGGATACAGGGTTAGATTCTGCACTCTGTCCCTTTTCTCCATGCTCGGATCCTCAGGAAGAAGGGGGAGAGGATGCTCAGGTTTCAGAAGTCCTGTTTCCTTCACTGAAGTGGAGCAGCAAGTTAATTTTGTAACTTTCTTTTTAAGTAAGCAGCAAAAAAGGTTATCATCATTTTTTGTTCTCTTTTTGGATGTAATTATAAAGCTTTGTGCTTGTTTATTTCTGGTAGGTTTTTAACTAGGGAGCTATTGAGTGATAATGAAGCATTTTTTCTTTTAACCAAGTAGGAGGAACACATCAGACAAATGTTGAAAAGCTGTTCTTTCCCCTAAAAAAAAAAAAAAAAAAAAAAAAGTTACTCCCAAACTACTTTTCTGTAAGTGAATGTGGAGAATGATGGCTTATGTAGGCTTGGGTTTGTGGGGCCAAACCAAAAATCATAAAACCATGACAGGGGCTTTTTGTTTGTTTGTTTGCTTTTGATAAATAATGTGATTATCAGTACGTGTGCTTCTTCCTGGTTGCAGGTATAGATGTGGGGGATGAAACACTCAGAAAAGAAAATAGCATCAGTGAAACATTCCATAAGGCAAACAGCTTTAAGCATATTGCGCCAAACCATCATTTGGGAAGGTGCTGGCTCTGTTTTGGGAAGGTGTTTGATGAACAAAGCTGAGAACCAAGAAATGATGGCAGGGCCTTGCAAGAGGTTGAGCTAGGAATGGAGATTCTGGCAGCCCCAATGAGCACCTCTGAGAGCTGACACTTGTCTAGGGAAAGGGGCAGTGATAAGAGCTGCAGAATGGGAGCATGTTTTTCAGCTCAGGATAGCAGAAGGGTCAGATATTTCTCAGAGCATGCAAAAAAGGCTAAAGGCTGTGATGAGGAAAAGTGTAATTCTACCCTTTGATCTGTATCTTGTCTGTGTCTGGATAATGTTTTTCTTGTCAGATAAGCTAGAAGTGTTGCACTAAATGTAGACAGAAAAGCACTTCTGGGAAGTTCAGAGTCAGCACAGCCAAACAACTGTGTAAACAGAGCTAAAGCAAAGCACACCACATAGAAACCAACCCAAGAGAAATTTACAGGGACCTTTTTATTGTTTGCAAAAACTTTGTAAATAGTCTTAAACTACCACTGAGAGCTAGAATTCTGCAGTTTGTTTGAGAGGGCCATACTGCACTGTAAGTGAATAATGCAGCCCCTCAGCACCACTGAGATAAAAAAATAATAATGTAATAGTTGCTTAAACTGAATCTTAAATTGTAAATGAAGCAGACCTTATATAAATATGACTATGTAAATTAAAATATTGATACATATCTTACTGTAGGCACCAGTTATCTATGAATTTTGCAGATGAGCTGTACTGTGACCATGTTAAACAGAAACTAACACTAGTTTTTTATTTTATTTTATTTTATTTTATTTTATTTTATTTTATTTTATTTTATTTTATCAAATATATTGGAACCATTCATTTTGTAATCTTGTGCCATAATGCTATGTTATATAGCATTGTTATATATATGTCTTATATAGCATTATCATATTGTGCTATTCTATCATATAGTGCTAACATGCTATAATCTACATAGTAGTGTCATGCTACTTTGCTACTGAAATCTGGAACAATTCTATCAATATCTTGGATATAAAACAAAAAATGGACAAGAGGGGCAACCAAAAGATCAGGCTTTTTTTTTTTTTTTCTCCTAGTTTTGTAGATCAGCTGGGCCAAAGAGTTATTACAGCTAAAGGAGTAACTTTTGTGTGTCTGTGTCATACATACATATGTGTACGTGTATGTACATACACACACACTGGAAATGATTCATACACTAGAATGCCAGCCTAATCTGTCCATTCCTAGATAATATCATGTAACAAATATGACAGTCCAATGATTCACAGCACTTTATGATCTATAAAATTGTACTGCATTACTTTTAGCTACTAATTAACAGACATTTCTGTCACTATGAGATATAATGAAAGGGCTGGGCTGTTACAACAGCAGGATCTGTGAGACCTAGGGATGCTTTGTTCTTCATAGCTTACCAGGGTGCTGCTACTTGTCTCAACTCAAACAAGCCCAGTTTGTTTCCGTAGTGATGTTTTTGGAAAGGTTAGTGGATTATCAATAGTCACTTCAGATGTACAAGCCAAAGGGAAGGAACACATGGGAAACTAATGAAAAAGAGGTTTAAAGTCTTCTCTGAATTTTGTAAAAGGGCACAGCAGTCAACTCAAATTGATGTTTGACAATCCTGGGAGGTGTGCATTTTCTTGTGGGAAATAACGAGGACTGATTGTCAGAGCTTCAGCTACTAACGCCCAAACCAGAAATATCACTGTCTTTGGACTCAAATTTTTTTCTGTTCCGTAGCCTGTGAGTTTTATTCATAGACCCTGGGGAGGGCTTGAAAGATGGACGAGGCAAGTAGTCCAATGAGGTTTAGCACGTGTGCATATATACCAAACAAATCCAAACGTTCCAAGACGTAGCAGTGCACAACGACCCCCAGATAGCTGTGTACTGATTGTGCAATATCCATATGGTTACAATTAATAATTTATTGTGCTTATTTCCTGGATTAGAAGCCTTTTAAGTATTCATGAAATTGACTTTCTTCTTAGGGGATGTGCTGAGGTGTTTTGAAGATTGAGCACTGTAATTTGGGAGAAGTCACAGGGCCTTTTTCAGGTGTAGAGGTTCAATTCATGCTTCAAGCACAAAACTAAACTCAGAATTAACTCAAAACTGAATAATCTCTTGCAAATTTGTGAAATGCCTTTCCTAAAATGCCCCAGTGCTTGTCTTTTCTGCTTCAGTATTTCCTTCACATTCCCTGAGAATCCATTTCTCCATTGCATCTTGCTTTCCTCTTCCAACTCACATATCCAAATTATCTGTGGGCTGCAGCTTTCCTATGGCCCAGGCACTCTATCCTTTTAAAATTTTCTTGCACAGCAAATCATTGATCTTTTCGTCTGGCTTGAAGGTAGCTGAAAAGTCAGTACAGCTTTTAGCCATTTTTTCCTGATCTTTACTACAATGCTCGCTGGATTACAATACAGAAGATGCATTTCCTAATTCCTCGGTAAGGATTAGGCATCAGAAGCGTGTGAATTCATCCCCCAAATTGAAGCCATATCCTGAACTGTTTTGGCCCTCTCTATTATCTAGACAGAAATTTATGCCATTATTAAAAATAATAATAGATTTACTCATCTGACTATATTCCCAAGAGAGTAAAAAGACATATGTATGCATTTGCAATGCTACAGTAAGTAGAACAGCAGTAGTGTGTAAAAATATCATACTATACAATATAAAAAAACAGTCTTTGCAGTAACAAATGTGATTCTCGCATATCTCTGTCCAAGTTGGCAGCTGCTGCTAAATGATAGTGTCCTTCATCGAAGGCCAAATCTCTTATGGGAAATACAGATGCTAAGACTAACAGGGAGTTGATCTGCTTGTTTAGTTTTAAGTAAAGTAAATGGTTTAATTACAATAAGATGCTGCATAGCCAGAACCAGAAAACAAGACTGCTCTGTGATGTTATTTTCCTGCTACTGCTCAAAAGGCAGCAACAAAAGGCCAAAGGAGACTGCAGTGGGAGAGTGGTGAGGTGGGGAGCAGAGAAAGGTGTGCAGGACTCAGCCAGAGGGAAGCTGGAAGGGAGCATGGGGCAGGGAGAGTGTTTGCAGACCCTGCATCACCCAGCTTTCTGGCTGGAAGCAGGGAAAACAGAAAGCATGAAGAAGGACTGCATTTGAGAGAGACAAAAATAAAGAAATGTAAATAGGAAAATACATACTGCATGCATTTAAGCATTCATGTCAGCATGTTGTTTTCTACGAAAGCAGGCAGTTTATGAAACCCGGTAGAATTTTTTTAGAGTGACACTTGTATTTCCTCGCTCCCTGTATGTACGGGCTGGGTTACAATCTCCTGCTTCACATTCCCAGTTTTACATCAGTGTGACCTGTAAATATTGTGCTTTGTGTAATTTTCCATCCAGTGTTGGTGATTGCCATTGCTTTGCCATGAAGCTATTTGGTGGAAAACCCACAAAGTTTTGACAAATTGCATCTTCTCTTTCTCAAATCGATCTTTAAAAGTATCTTGTAGATAAGGAAGTGACTGAAGACATCATCTCTGGATCAGTTTAGGTATTAGTGAAATGCAGCCAGCTACAAGAGGAAATGTGATTGATAACTGCAGTAGCAATGGCCCGGTGAGGCATCCAGAGCAGCCCAATGCTGAACCTTGCTGTTATCACTTATGCTGATTTTCATAATTTGTCATTTAATCTTTTTTGATTGGATTTTCTGTGTTTTAACACCCAAGACCATCTGACTGAGTTAAGAGACTGGTGTGCAAAAATACATAAGGGATGCGTGAATGAAAAGTATATGCACACGTAGGCACGTGGAATGTAAGGTCTTTAAGAAGGTTCAGAAATGAGGCTTCACAAATGAGGCATTAAAAGGTGCTGTATTTTTCAGTTTGCAAAGACTTTCTAGTGTTGTGACAATTAATTTTTTGCATTCTAACAGTTTTGACTCCTTGCTCTCCCTAGGTGAAATGGAAGAGTTAGAAACCCTGTGGCTGACTGGTATTTGCCACAATGAGAAGAATGAAGTCATGAGCAGCCAGCTGGATATTGACAACATGGCAGGAGTCTTTTACATGCTTGCAGCAGCCATGGCGCTCAGTTTAATTACTTTTGTCTGGGAGCACTTATTTTACTGGAAGCTTAGATTCTGCTTCACTGGAATCTGCTCTGATAGACCAGGATTATTGTTCTCAATCAGCAGGGTTAGTATTCTTTGCATTTCACCCCTTCAGGCAATTGACAGTATGAGCACTGCCTCCCTAATACACTTTTCTTTGTATTCCCACCTGGACATTTGAAATACTTGTTTACAATACTGACAAAGTGATCAATGACTTTATTATGTTCTGGCACTCCAGGGGAAGTCTTATCTCCAATGGATTATTCTACCAGATTAATTATCATGTCAGGATAATTGTTAATCAAATGCTAGAAATGTAATATATTTAAGGGAGATTTTGATGTAGGAAAGGCAGAGCTGCTTATATTCAAGAATACTCACCCTTCCTCGACCCCCCCCAAAAAAGAACAAAAAAAAAAAAAACACAAAACCAACCCCACAACCAACAAAATAAGCACTAAATTAGTGACAGATATTAACTCTCAGGTTTGTGTACTTCATAAACATTTTAAGTGATAAAAGTACTAGACTAGTTTTTAAGTAGGCTTTTCTTGATAGCTAACATATAAGAGAAAGAGTCGAACACAAGTATCATTTGTGTTTGGTTAGACAGTAAGACTATTTTTAATAATACCAAATCCAAAGCAGATTTACATATCCCAATAATTAATGTGAGCAGTAAGATAAAGGCAGTAGGTGCTTGTTCTCAAACCTTTTGACAAATCTATATTTCTTATTTAAATTTTTAAGTGAGTGCTTCATTGCTTCATTAGGTAATGGACTTTGCAGGTGTTTGTATATAGCTGAGGAGAGCAGAAAATGATTAAAAAGAAAAGCCTAATTTCTTAAAAAAATGTGCTAACATTACCTTTTATAGTAAATTTGATTGTATTGGAACTGCACTCAAATACTCTGCTCTAGCCTGTTGGAGATTGCCTAGTAAAGCATAAATGCTTACATCTTTATGTTTTGTATTTGAAGTTTATACTTTGGGTTTCAGTGTGAAACTCAATCTTCTCTGGTAAAAAATACTTATTTAAAAGGAAAATTTCACAGGATCCAGGATATCGTTCAAACTCACAAAAGCCACTAAACAGGTAAGAGTTACATACAGGATGGACTTGAGCCATTTGTCCCAGATGAACTCAATTTCAGGCTTAGAAAGAACTGAAGAGCGCCATAACTTCTAGTAGCCTTACTGCATGCCTCTTTTAGAGCGGTAATTTAATCACTGCTTTGGAAAAATAGAATTTCCATTAATGAAGGTTAGCTATATTTTATGATGGCATTAGGGAACCTTTTGAGGTCCCCTGTAATCCTGTTGTCTGGAATAAAGTATGGGAGGCCAACACAGACCACTGGTTCGTAAAATACTGGCAATCGTCCTTTACATTGCCAGTGGATTATGGCAGAAACTATTCTTCCATATAGATCTAAACAAATACTACAAGAATAGGTGTATGTCTTTTACTAATTAAATAAGCAATGTTTTATTGCCAATGAAATTGGATTGAAAATATTTAAAATTTACATATAGTAATTTAATTTGTTTTATATAATTCTTATTACAGGGTATTTATAGCTGCATTCATGGAGTACACATTGAAGAAAAAAAGAAGTCCCCTGACTTTACTTTGACCAATTCCCAAACCAACATGTTAAAACTACTACGAACAGCGAAAAATATGACCAATATAAATCCTTCAAGAATTAACTCCCCCAAAAGAACAGCTGATTTTATTCAGAGGGGTTCCTTGATTATGGACATGGTCATGGATAAGGGAAACTTGATCTTTTCTGATAACAGATCCTTTCAGACAAAGGACAACTTTTTTGGTGAAAACATGAGTGAATTGCAGACACTTCCTGGCAATCGACACAAGGACAATCTTAACAACTATGTTTTCCAAGGTCAGCATCCTCTCACACTGAATGAATCCAACCCAAATACAGTAGAGGTTGCAGTAACAACAGAAGCAAAAGTAAACTCCAGACCCAGGCAACTTTGGAGGAAATCTGTTGAATCTTTACGTCAGGAATCTGTACGTCAGAGTCAAGGTTCCCAGAGGGAAAACGGGTCAGATGAAAACCGGCAACTTTCAGTGAAAAGCCAAAGATATCTTCCTGAAGAGATTGTCCATTCAGATGTATCAGAGACATCAAGCCGGGCTACTTGCCATATGGAACCTGATAACAACAATAAGCACCACAAAACCAAGGACAATTTTAAAAAAAGAACAGTAGCATCAAAATACCCAAAGGACTGTAGTGAAGTGGAACTGACATATCTGAAAACCAAGCAGAGCTCTCCACGAGATAAAATCTACACAATTGATGCTGATAAGGAGCCAGGATTCCACTTGGACACACCCCAATATATCGAAAACATTGTCCTTCCAGAAACTATAGAGTATCCTGGTGTTTATCAAGATCACAATGACAACTACAGGAAAGCAGAACATGCTAACAGGACTCCCATGCATAATGAAGACAGTCTTCCAAATAATGATCAATATAAACTTTATGCAAAGCACTACAGTTTAAAAGATAAAAATGCTTCCCTAGTTGACATGAATGATAGATACAGACAGAATTCTACCCACTGTAGGAGCTGTCTTTCCAATTTGCCCACTTATGCGGGACATTATTCAGGCAGATCTCCCTATAAATGTGATGCATGCTTGCGGATGGGGAACCTCTATGATATTGAGGAAGATCAGATGCTGCAGGACACAACGAACTTATCACTTCCTGAAGAAATATATGACCATAGTTGGTCACAGAATAATGCTCTGCAATATCATAAAAAAAACAAGTTGAGGATTAGCAGGCAACATTCATTTGATAATATTGCTGATAAGTCCAGGGAAATTGATCTTGGAAGACCTTCTCGTAGTATAAGCTTGAAAGATAAAGAGAAGTTTCTCCAAAGTAGTCCATATGCAAGCATGTTTAGTGTTCCCTCAAGCAAACTGTTGAGCAACAAAGCCTCACTTTTAACCCATGCTCTAGAGGACAGTAAGAGGAGCAAGTCCCTGTATCCCATTCACTCAGAAGATAATCCCTTTCTGCACTCGTATCGTGATGACCAGCACTTATCTCTTAGGCGAAATCCAGCTGATCTTTATAAATATTCGTTACCAACCAGAGGAAGAAATGATAATTATTTCAGGTCATCCATAAAGTCTACAGCATCATACTGTTCCAGGGATGGTCGGATCCATAATGACATGTACATTTCAGAGCATGTTTTGCCTTATGTTGCAAATAGGAATAGTGTGTATTCAACTCCAAGGGTTTTAAATTCCTGTAGCAATAGACGTGTGTATAAGAAAATGCCTAGCATTGAATCAGATGTTTAAATTTTCCATGAACACTTATCTATAGGGAAAAATAGTTGCCACCATCTTAGAGGGAGAATATTTCCTTTAACAATATCCTGCTGTAGTAAATGATATGTAAACCTCTCCCTTTCTCAATGTACTTTTGTACACGAATAGGTGAACTTAGTATGCTCTCAACCATCTTTTTAAACTATGTCTTGTTGAAAAGGAGAAAAAATAGCCATTTATGTATGCTTTATATAAATGGCAAGCTGTACTGAAATAGCCCCAATATATGTTGGCAACTATGCTATTTTGTATCTGATTATTTTATAATTTTGGTTATTCTAATTTCTGTTGCTAAGTATCATTCAGTGTACTTTTGTCCTTAGAAATGTTTAATGATTTTCTAGTACCGGATAAGCAATATGGTATGCATGTAGTATGACACAGACAAAAAGAATTAGGAATGCATTTGCTAAGTTACAAAAATAAGACTCTTTAAAAGAGACCAGAGAGCTAAGCTTTCAAAAATATATTTTAGCTTCATAATCATTTTCAAAGAAGAAAAACCTTTAAAAAAAAAAAAAAAAAGAATCCAACCCAAACCCCAGGACCTTAATTAACAAAATACAGTGTGTTAGCACAAAATTAGTATGTTCACAGTAGACTGACAGAAAATAAATGGGAAGACTGTAGACCCAAACATGTGAACTGCTGTGTACCAAAAGGAAGCCCTGTGGATTTTGGTTAATGTTAATTTACAAATGCTTTTCTTATATTTGACATGCACTTGCCATTAGAAACTAAGTTCATTGAAAAGTCTGCAGTCATCTTGTCAAAAAATTCACAGCTGCCTAATCCAGAGTATATATTTTTAGCTATCAATATATGTCACTTATTGTGGAGTTCATTAGTAACCTTGAGACCTAATAAGTATGCAAGTTTGCATTTGCCCCTTACTGGTGATTACTCAGGGCTGTATAGTATTTATTTTATTCCTTCAGTTCCCAAACCAAATCCCAACCCACCACAGTTCTTTGTTCATAGGATGTTAGTGACATCTAATTAACTGTATGTTAGTATTACTAAAGCTGTTAATATGGTATCAAACACGAACAGCCATATGTTCAGTGTAATCAGTAAGGAATACAATGCCATTTATTTGCATATACCGTGAAGGATTAATGCCCTTTGTGGGCCTTCTTCTTTCTGGAATATCATGCATATTTGTTGAACGTCAGACCTTTTTTTTTTTTTTTTTTTAACCTCTCTAATCAAATCTGTCCTATAAATGGAATATATGCACACATCACCACTCACCGGTATGCAAAAAATATTCACGTTACAAGGCTGTATTCTTATATGACTTTTATTTCTAGTGAAGATCCTTCCTCATCCCATAGCCATAAGGGAGTGTAAAAGGGAAAAGGGGAAGACTTTCTTGAGTAGAGTGTACAGTTGTAAATTGTAGTTAAATTAAAGAAGTAAATTGCTAATATATTTAAAGTATCAACAGGTAGTTCTCTCCCATTGTCCTGGTAGTCTAAGAATCACTCTGATTTTTTTTATTTATTTGTCCATGTATGGGAAGTTTAGATGATTAGATTATTAAATTATTCCTTAGATTTCACTGAAAATCAGTGAACGAGGAAACCATTACCACTGTGAATTGGAAAATGTAAATATTACCCTGACTTTTCCCTAAACAAAAGTTATTTTCAATAGAATCATCCTTACATCAGCTGTAATTGTATATCTGCAAGTCAGAGTTACAGTATGCAAGTTGTTTAGTATTTAGTATTAGCATCCTTCAGACGAGCGCTGCAAATGGGAGGTAATATAAATGACATATAGTGATAGATAGAATATGGCCTATTGAATTTTTATTTACAATTTTTTTATTAAACAGATTTGAGCTGACTAATTACTAAACGGTCCACAATGAATTCTTGATATTTACAAATGCATTTGTACTTTCGTCATAATGGTGAAGGATGATATTTTGGAAGGAATGAAATGCAATGGGATTTGGGTTTTCCAAATCCCTTCCTAGCTTCCAAAAATCTCAGCATACTTTGTTATATTTGTGTTCAGAAAGCATATTTATGGGCATCTGCACTCTGTCCAGAGCAAATATCTTTTGAGTATTTCTTGTTCGACATTTGGTCGCAATTATTGGCCCTGGTTCACATGATATGCTTTCTGGCTTCTCACTGGCTCTGGTTGTTATATAAAGATCCTTGACTGCCCTTACAGGGATTCTATCTCAGGAATAGCTGTATGAACCGAGCAGAGATAGGATGTTTATGGATGGGATGGAGCACTACTATTCACAATCAAACCCCCTTTCCCATGTGCATACACGTGTACCCTATTCATCTTAGGTCCATAGGAAGGAAAATGCACTAAAGACATAAGTATTGTTGTAACGAATATAATTAAAACATTTGAGGCAAATTTTAATTTCTAAATTATATTTAATTTCTAAATCATAGTAGATTAAACAAGATCTTAAGTGTTTGGAACCACCTGTGTTTTTCAGCAAATTGTCTGTTTGCTGATATTACACCAAAAACTACTGTGCAAGTTGCTGGGAATTTTACCAAGTGAATCATGAAACTCCATGGTGGCTCTTGTCTTTCACGTCATCTGAAAGCACTCAGAATACTGTCTGCTCACTCCAAGTCTTTTGTAACTTCATCTTTATCTGCAACTAGACACCCATGCTTCAATATATAGACAAGTACTGTCTATAAAACTCTGGGAAAGAAAAGTTCCCATTTACGACATTTTCTAAATAAACTGTTGAGATCCAAATGCAAACATGCTAAACCCAGGTGAATTTATCCTTCTGTGAAATGTTAAGGCAAATTAGCTAAAAAGAAGTACACTGCAGTGTTTGCTTTTTCTGATTTGAGATTTCTGGTGACTGTAGAGATTGGTTATCTACAAAATACAATCCCACACCAAACCAAATTAAAGAGACAGAGGGGAGACTTGATAATGTTGCACAGCAGTTGTTCACATGGGAATAAACTATGCTGCCTTAAAAGAAAAAGAAAGAGATTTAAAAAAAAAAAAAGGATACTGAAAGTAGAGGGATAAGAATCATGCATGTGTTTGCGGTTTTGATCTTGGCATGTAATATGTCTGAATGAAGGGGGAAGGAAAGGCTGAAGTGCAGGGTTGTAGCTAGAATAACTAGTGTGGTTGCTGATGTATACATGTAAAGAAGAAGAAGCTGAGAAGTTGAAGGAAAAGCTCCAACAGTAGAGCCACAAGCCACAGCTTGTGAGGCTCAGCTGTAGGGCATATGGAACTCTGAATATTGCCTGAGCTTTGTTGATATATTTGCACTGACTTTCAATTAAATTGAGATCAAGACTTTCTGTATTTCCCTCTCTCTCACTCCAGCTGCTGCTATACTTGAAGAGGAGAAAAGAATCTTCCTGCATAAGTGGCCATCCTTTCTGTACCTTTCTGGATGGTGCTGGTGACTTGTTACATTTTCCTGATTACAGCTCTAGCAGATTGTTGGTCATTCCTATCACCAAGATTTCCCGTGACTCCAGCTGGAACTGAATCAGGCTGTAAATGATATGGGCCGTTCTTGGTAGCATGTCCCATAGTGTTACACTGCTCCTGGACGACAACTTTTATGGAGGCAGGATATTGAATTGCTGAGGAATGAAGTAGGTACATGGAGGTAAAAACAGCTATGTAGACATTCCTGCCTCTTGCTTTTTTCCTCTTTTAAAGACGTTGTAGAATTTCTTCATGTTTTTGTCTTCCCCTTTTCACCACAGTGCATTTTCCTTTTCCTTTCAAATGAAGTTTGTTTTCTGCTTGTGTTTTGTAGAGCAGTGTAGCCACCCACTAACTTAAAAGCATGGAAATAAGATACTTTAATATATAAGATAAAATTAAGGAAATTAAGAGTTCTTTGTATTTCTGGAAATTTTCATTTAATGTTTTGGCAGCTTTCGCTCAGAATTCTTTATTTTGCTACTTTAGAAGCTCAGTTAGGAAACAGAGTGCTGTGGACACACTGAATCCAAATCACCGCCAGCCCACCATGTTTTGGCAGCATCTCATGAACATGTCTCTCTCTCTGTGGTCATTCAGGAACACTTAGTTAAATTAACAGTCACAATAAAGCTAAGGCAAATTAGTAGTTATTTTTTGTTGGTTTTTTTTTCCTGATGAAAACGAATTTTTTTACATAGTTCCTAAGGTAGCAAAAGCTAGAGGTATGTAGCGTTTGGGTTTCTCTGCTGGAAGGCTAAGCTCTTTGTGTTGCCAGTGTAAGGAGAGAAAGAGAGAAAGCTCCCTCCTGATGGCAGTCAGAGCACTGGAGGCTTGGAAGCAGTTGTGTTGATGTGTCTTGAAAGCATTTATATCTCTCTGCAGATATTTTAGGAAGCATGGGCACTAATCAGAGATCTCAGGCGTGCTTACTAGAGTAGTGGACTATTTATCCCAGCCTCAAAATCTGCTCAGTTGAGTCTGTGAGTGCCAGTCTACACCTTGCAGATCATATATATTCCTGTGCTTATTCAATATCTGCTAAAGTTGCAGCTGTCTGTTGTGGATTCTGCAGTACTTCCAACCTAAACAGTATCGCCATTTTCTTTATACCCTGTGACTAACCAGCATGAAATAAAAGTGTTAGCATCTCTTCCCTGTAGAATAACTTGCTATTTTTATATTCCTTCTGTGTAGCATATGCATCTTAAGATACAGTGATGGGGAAGACTTTAGTACCACTCCTTCCCTTGTTGAGTTCACCAACAAAAAACAGAACAGGAATTATGATACAGGTCTTAGAGTCAGGCTGGATGTAGGAAGAATTAAAGAGTGAATGTTTTTGTTGTTTTACTTTGAATTTAATGTGTTATGTATGAAACCTAGTGAAAACAGATATTTTATTATGAAGTCCTCTTAGTTAAAAGAGAACAGCATCCATTGTGTGACTTGGGTAGTTTGTGTTAAGTGTTAATCATCACATTCTGTGCTTCTGTCAAAATGGAGTGTTGTGAATCCACTTGCTAAATTTTGCCTTTCCCAGCTCTAGCTTTTTTTTAGCTCAAATATCTGGCTCTAATTTTAGCTCAAATATCCTTCTGAAGTAGGTGTATTTCCTGCATAGGGCAGTCTGGTTTACAACATAAAAACAGTTTTCTGGTGACATGCTTAATTCACTTGTTTTACTGATGTTAATTTTTTTAATCAAAACCTTTTTTCCTATTGAGAATGGAACCTTCGAATTAGTGCTGAAGGATCTTCTGAAAGAGTGTAAAGGTCTTTCAAAGTATGACTCTATGGTATGATCCATTTCCCTGCTCAGTGGAACCTGTACCACCTTGCTTAAACATATTAGCAAAATGCTAGTAGTGATTCTCAATAGGAGGGAGCACAATTTAATCCCTGTTGTGTACTTATTTGTGGACGTAAATGCAAATGCAGACAGGCAAAGGTTATGGTATAGAAAAGACTCCACCTGTTCTAGCTGAAGTCTCCTGCAAAGCTCTGGTTAAGTTACACAAGAGTAGCCTCAAGACCATCCTGTCTCTTCCATCGTTCTGATCGTGCCGACTTCTCTGTCTCATGTGCACATATTGTACATAGTGTAAAATTCTTGTTGACACTCAGCTGTCATTGTGAAATTAATCCCATTTCCACCTGTTCGCCTTCATTGCAGTGTAGCAGCAATGTCTGTGGGGTGTAGAGGTGGTTGTTTGCGTTCACTGGTGTCTGCTCCTCTGTTCAGCGGGAGCAGAAATTCTGCCTTGCTTCTCTCTGCTCTGCTGGAGGAGGGTTACTGCACTGCTTGTAAATAAGTCCCTCAATCAAATCCAGCTTTTCATTTAATTTAATTTTTTGCCCTTCTTCACTAGACCTGCATAGAGAGTACTTTGTTGAAGAATTTGCTCTCTTTGGACGTCATGATGACAAGCATGCATCTCCCTGCAATGCAGCGAGAATGCACTGTTGTCTATGCAGGTTTGGGAGCTTTTTGATTACATCCTGCAGGATGCATCTACCCTGGTTAAAAGTGTTCTTAAAATGAATACCAGTCTAAACAGCTGTAAGAATCCACTGCTGATTATGTGATGATCTTGTCATATCTATCATTTAAGAACCAGAAATAACAGAAGTAACATTAAGTTACCTCAATATTTAGCAGGATTTTGTTGTTTTGCACTTAAGTATTTTATTCATTTTCCTCAATTCTTTACCTGTATTAAATTAGTAGAGAATATAACTATGCTGTAGTCATGCAATATCATTATTAGCAGATAACCACACTGAATTGAGTACTACATATTTAAAAGAGATGATTTTTGACTCTCCAGCTCTTCAGAAGTAGTGGTGATCAGCAGTTATACTGTTAGATGTTTCATCCTTTCCCTTTTGTAATTAGCATTTGTTTTCACTGATATTTCAAAAATTATATTTCTGTGTGCGCGTTCTAAACTGTGAAAGTAAATACCAGTAAATATTATGATACTTATTCAGTGCACTGTAAAGTTCCAAGTGAGATGATAATTTGCCTGTGAATTAATGAAGGTTTCCTCACTTCTCACAAATGGTCCTGAGCTTTAATGTGGGCAAATGGTAATATTTATAGTTACATGAAATTTTAATGGAGAAAGTTCTTGTTTTGCACTTCTAGAACTATTAGAAGAAATGGTGTGTTTTTCTGAACAACTGAATTATGATCATACATTTTTAATTGAAGTTTTGTACATTGCCGTACATAAGAATATCCCTTTTGAAGAGCTTTGTGTTAATCGTCACTACAGGATTCTTTAGACTCAGAATCATTCATTAAGCCTGTTTTATAATGGAATCTAATGGCAAAACACAGTTTGGAAATATATTTTGGATTCTGTTTCTCAGTGTATTTGGACTCATAGTTCTGCAATTGAAGGCCCTCACAAGGTTCCTGTGCCCTTTGCTTTGGGGAAGGAGACTTCTCTTGTTCATTGATGGAACAACATTAGAGGAGTCAAAAAAAGAATTTGGACTATGTGTTGGTCAATATTTGAAGAGTAAATTATGTTCAAAATGAGAAAAAGGAGGGAAATTGGAGGTTCACAGTTATCCACACTAGGGAATGGTCTGTGATGGGCAGCAAAATGTGGTTTCTAGAAGCTAATTTTTAATGAAGGTGATTTGAATCCTGCTGGAGATTATAAATCACTGAAATAAAAACGAGAGTTTCTTATTTCTTTTTGTTTTTTAAGCCAAAGTCTTTATATTGTCATACGAGGTTTCACAGGAAAATGGGCCAAAGAATACAATTAAATATGCAAAAGGTTAATCCTATGGAAATGGATATCCTGTCATCTTGATGTGCCAGAGCATATCAATGGTAACAGGAACAATGCGTGTAATTTTCCTGTATATTGCTATGTAGGTTGCACTATTTTGAATGATACAAGCCTGATATTTTAATTACCAAATACCAGAAGAAAGCTGTTTATTAATAGTTTTTAACCTAAATATGTATACAGTATAAACACATGTGCGTGCATACCCTTTCCCACCCAGTCATATATGAGTAATCTCCCAGATGTGGGGCACATTCCAGCAGTGCTTTATTGTAAATGATTCTCTACTCTCCTTTCCAAACCTCCTAAAGCCACCAATTCCCTAGCAGCATTTACTATAGTGTTTGATGCCTATTGCTGAAGAGGCTGAGGGACTTGCTGGGGATCAGGAATGCTAGGATGCGAAAATAAATGAGAGTTTCTCTCTGAAAGAGCTGGAAATGGTACTTGCTGGCATTTCCATATATGCAGGCATGTCTTCTTGTGCTATTTTGAGGATTAATGACCAGAGACAGTCTATTGGCCCAGTGGTCCAGATGTTAAATTGTGTCAATTTATGTGATCCAAACGTGGTCATTAAAAACATTATTTACAATAGCTGAGGAAGAATAGTTAAAACCCAAAATTTCCAGGAAGGATCAGTGGAGGCCATTCTATTCATCCATGCAGACTGCAGTTTTCAAAATGTATTTTGTACAGAGGCAGTATTTAGCAGTGATGCTTGTTAGTAACTTCTTGGTGCATGGGCTTTTGGCCATTTTATTACTATGTGAAAGTCTTGACATAGAGATGGTGATATTTGGCTTCTTTTCTAAATTCAGAATGCTCTAACCAAAACTTATGATAAAAAATTGCTATGGATTCATTTATTTGAAGTTACTCCTGAGCTTTTTTTCCAAAGGGAGCATTGCATAATTAGTCATTTTTTCCCATACTTACACAGGGAAGCAGAAAATTTGGTATGGTCAACACTTCTCTATGACTCATTGCAAGTGTGTCTTGGAGAAGGACTTTGTTCCAACTCCTTTCTCTGCAGTAAGAACAATTTTTGTTATCTTGTCTTTATCCAGCCTAGATCTGGATTTCTACTATAAGCAAAACACTATTTGACTTAGAGATGTGCGAGTGCTTGATGGAAGAGCACATTCTTAGTGTGGGTTGTGCTCGGAGTTAAAATACCAAAACCAAACCTCATGTTGCAAAGGTAGGGAAGTTGCATCATGTAAAATTGCGTGCAGCTAGAAAGGAAACTTGTGCAATTTTTATGAAGAACTGTTTACAATTTATATCAGCTATACTATTTTAAAATAGTCTTATTTATTTCAGAGCGTCCATTTTGCTCTGATGAAGAACAGCTTGATCTCTCTGTCTTCACACCTCACGCCCACGTGCACAGTGTATTTTGTGTCTTCCCTGAACAAACCAGAAGGTACAAACAGAATTCATTACCATTAGGCAGACTCCTACCTGATTTTTATCTAAGTATGCTACTTTTATGCAAAATTTGCATCCATACATTCTAGGTTCTTTAGAAGCATTTCACCTGTGAGCTAATACTGTTAACTTTAACTCATGAGAGTTGAATTTACACTAAACTGGGCATTTCATGCTTTGTTTCAGTCTCTATAAAGATGTTTTGCTGACTAAGATGAAACACAAATATTTCTGTGTGCTGCTAAACAAAAATCACCAGAAGAACTTTAAAAGTTTAGCTTGCAGTTAAAAAAATATGTTTACCTATTTACTTGAATATTGTAAATGTAATGTGTTGTTCTGATTATTCCTTATATACATACATGTATATATTTGAAAGCTGTATGTAAGCTTTATATAAATGTATGTGTATAAAGGTTTGGGGTTATTTTTTAGGAATGAAGGGCAGGAGAAAAATTCAGCATTGTGACAAAGGTTCTACAAACATTTATTAACATTTTCCAGTAATATGCTATTTTGAGTTTGACAGGAAGTTATTTGCAGTTGTACTCTGAAAAGAAAATTAAATGTAGCAAAAATTAATATTGAACCTTTGATCCTTTGGCGTCGGGTTAGTTTCATGTGTATCTTGAAAAGAATTGACAATATTAGCTCTGTTTTCTTCTCAGAAAGAAATTATTTGGTACACTTGGAAGTGTATTCTTATTCTGATGGGGAAAAGGCTCTACGTGTACCAATCTTGTTGCACAGAGCTGTAACCTACACTGCAGCTAAAGAAGTTCACATTCCGTAAACAGCATCTTACCAGAAATCTTGGAACCATTTGGTTCCATACACAGTAAATTAAAAAGCCCATCACTGCTGCTACTTAGTGCCATTTACCGTAACATCCTCAAGAGCGTAGTATTGCAAAGTAAATTTCATAAATTTCCTATTGCTAGCAAAAGAATAGCAGAGGTTTGAAGACCTCTGTGCACCCGGGGAAATTAATCGGGACATTAGAGTAGAAAAAAAATTATCTTGAAAGTGGAATAAAGGATGAAATAATTCATTTTTCACAGGATCCAGAATTTCACGATAAAACTCATAGCGCAATGGATTGTTCAAAAGGAAAGGTTTTTTGGGGAAAAAAAAAAAAAAGAAGAATTAAAAACTAGTTTTGGCATTCCAATTACTGCCTGTTTCATTAGATAGGGTTAGCAAAATGAAATTAATTTTAATACGCAGGTGTCTGTGCAGACAATTTAAAATGCCACGCTATGGACACATGCATACACCCAGCTACCCCTGCACCCATCTGTCCATGCCTTTAAAGCCCTGGTTGTAGTAGGATCTCCCCAACAGCACACAGTGCTCCCCAAAGGGGCTGGGAGTCGTGCACCTCTCCTGCGTTACGCGTACCATCTCACAGCAGTTCTCCCCACCCACCTTTTAACCCAGTGCATGACTGAGTGCTAATACTGTATAAATATTTTGAAACATATCTAAAACAGATGTTTGCTTCAAACTTTTTATGATAGAGAAATATATAATGATTATGGTTGTCATACAGAATTGTATTGTGTTCTTCATTTTTGTTAAATATGTAGAAAAACATTAAGGGAATGGGAGACTCGAATGTCTGTGTGTACCGAAATGTATATAACTATTTGGAGAAAACACACGTGCCAAGTATAACATGATGTAAAAAATGTAAATATATGAAATATTCATTTTTCTAATAAAGATAATTTCTGCCAGTTGATATGAAAATGAACAATGGAATCATTCTTGTCTGTATTCCTTGCTAAATGGTAGAAGATAAGCGTCACTTGTGCATAAGGCTTATCTGTGTTTTTTTTGTATTTGATTTGAAAGGTGTTAACAGCCACGTGTTTTGAGTCATCCTTTGTTGTTAGGAATTATCTAAAGGTGAAGACGCCTGAAGCTAAGGCTGACAGTATAGACTTGATGTTCCCAGTTTAATTTAATTAATGAAAAGGACAAAGACAATTAACTTACAAGGAATACATTCAGTGTGAGTCATGTTGTTTAAATGATGCTCCTGAACAGAGGGAGCAGAGAAGCTATAGGGCGAGGGTGGTCCGTTAATGCATGGCACCACATACATGGGGGCCCTGCGTGAAAGAGATGCTCTTGGCTGCAGAAATGCAGGAGCTCTTTGGGTGATGGCAGAGGCAGCACCCAACCCCAGGAGGATGCATTGCTGGGAGGCTGCTGTGCTCCAAAGAGCTGGAATATGGTGAGCCCTGGCCATGGCAGCACTTGAGCAGGTGAAAGCTGGGGAGAGCAAACCTGAGGGGGAAGTAGTAGTTATAGTATCACAGGATGGCTTGAGTTGGAAGGGATCTCAAAGATAATCTAATTCCAACGCTCCTCCTGCAGGCAGGGCTGCCAACTGCTACATTAAGCACTAGATCAGGCTGAAAATGGCAGAGATGTATCTGTCCTTGATATCAGCAAACTTGTTTGATGTTTCAGTTAATCAAGACTTCATTTAAAACAGGAGATTTAGTGAAGCAATCCAAATCTTTTTGAAGAGTTGTCCTTTTGCCAGGCCAGTGAGGCTGAAGGAGCGAGGTTCACATGAAGTTCCTAGGTGGTTCAGTATGACCCGTTTTCAAGAATTTCAAATCAGTTAATGAAAGTCTTCCTTTATTAAATAAAATGAGCCTAAGCAATCATTCAATGGTTAGAATAATGTTCTTCGAGGCAGTGGGATGAAAGCCATTATCTAAATTCAAAGCGTCATTTTGATATGCATGCTTTATGTAGTGGAATATAAAAGTAATGGACAAGAGGTGAAGGTTGCTCACAGATCTCAGCAGAGCAGTCCTGCTTGTTCCCGTGGTAAACATGACTGCACAGATAATACGAGAGATATGAAACTGAAACTCTCTTTTTAATGAGGTAAAGACTGCTGAGCTTTCTCTCATCTGCTAGAAGACAGTTGTAAAGGGATTCCTCTCTATTTCTATATAAACATTCCCATTTTGTGAAGCAGAGTAACAAACAGTGGTCTGTATGGCTTTGTTCACCTTCTGTGCTGTCTCTCGAAGGCCCAGTTCAAGTCCTCCGGTCATTTAAAAGCAGCTGGAGTCGATAAAGGAAATGGGTGATGGCAGGAAACTGCCGGCATGCTTCCAGTCCTGAAGCACTGCTGTGTGGCTGGGGAGCTGGGCTGCTTCGTGTACCCAGACTGCTTCTCCTGCCTCACCTGCCACAGTAGTTTATATCTATCTGTGTGTGTATGAGTCAACTCAGTTTCAGCTTTGATTCCCTTTGGAATCTGATTCAAAGGCAATCGTATTCTCCCAGGTACTTCTTTTGAACCTTTATTGATGTGCCTATGGCAACTGTCAGTCCTGCACAACTTTGCATATTAAAAAAAAAACAAAAACCAGAAATGTAAGGGGTGACTGGAAAATTAACACTTTTAAAATCAGATATCTTGTGTATAATAATGCCAGCAGCGTTCCTAGCAAACTGAGCAATTCAGTAGCTATGAACACAAGTATCTTCCTCTTATTTGGGCCAAAACCCTAGTCTTGAGACCAACAGCTGAAGTCAACTCGTCTCTACACACAGGAACACCAAAACTCCAAATTGTGGTGCTTTTTTCCCATTGATCACATGTGCCACTTGTCTCTCTGCTTCCCCCAACAGTTCACAGACAGCTTCAACTTCCCTTTGTGGCCTTGTTGCAGTATGAAAAATCAAATCATGGTTCCCACCAACTGCATGAAATCTGTCCTGTGGTTTATCTTGTACTACTGCTGTTCTCCTCCAACTTGTGGTCTAATTTATTGATGATTTGTTTTCTGTCCAGCTTACATAGGATGATTGATCATTTCAGAAGTTGACTGTACTATTTTAAAATCAGTATGCTCAAAATGTACTTATTAAAGGTAATCTATGGCACAACTGATGATAGTTCCTTAAGTATGGCAGTAACAATTATAATGCACTGATGTTTCTTAACACTGCATGGGCAACAGGGGACAGTCATACAGAAGTTTCTTGTGATTAATGTAGTTTACACAACGTTACTGCAAGGTCAAAGACATTTTCCAGCTATCTCCATGCAGCTCCAGGTATTCCAGGCTGTATTCTAGGAGCCTTGAAATCCAATTTGTGTTGCAAAAGTACAAGGTCTGTTGTTTTCTTCCTCCCTGTAGAGCAGACCTTTGGACACATTCAGTGAGATAACTGAGCATTTTCATGCTTCGAATGTTTAGGCCGGTAACATCTCACACATCATTTAAATAATCATGGAAGTTACAAAAAAGCTGAAAATCTGAACTTGAGTCTTCAGAGAGAAAAATACACCATCAACCATGTTTGAGTCTAAGTCCCTCTCTTTATAGAATTATATAGTTCCACTAATTTGGGCACTGATGATGTTTGGCACTTCAGCAGGTTGGCTGTGATCAGCTCTCTCCTTTCACCCTGCATAGGGAAAAGCAAACAGGGAACCTAACGGAGATTTCTCTGTGCACAAGGGAGGCACAGATTTTGGACAGGTTTTACTTCCACATTCCAAGATGGTATTGTTTCAACCAGTTGAGAAGTTTCCCAAATGAAGTAAAAGCTTCTCCATTTGTGCCACAATATCACAATGCTGGTTTTACCCTCCTCTTTCCCAGCAAGAGAAAAAATATCAAATGTGTAATTCTTGTGGCAGCTGAAATGCCTCTGAGCTTCTTTACTGCAGTTGCTAAGAAGAGACATTTGTGTACCTTGGAGAAAATAAAAGCAGAGAATAACTGATTTTCCTATTTTCCTCTGAGAACAGAAATGCTGTTGCACTCAACTGACCACAGTGAAGATTTCCTTGTATGGACTTTGAAATCTGCAGAGTATATTAATCACTGTCACCAATTTTATTTAAATACACGTGAAGAGCTTATGACTAAAAGTAGGGGTGGAGATGATTTGGAGGGTTTTTGCTATGGGAGAAACTTTGGAATAGGAAAGACAGCTGTCAGGATTCCTACAAAGGATAGTGCAAATCTCTTTGAATGTGCCTCTCACCTGTAAAGAACAGCTCATTCTCAGTCTTTACCAAGTAAGGAAACTATTCAATATATTCTTTTAAGAAAAATCAAACATCAGATTGTTATGTTATTCAGATTTTGACCCTTATCAGAAAGGCTGGATTGATTTCTGAAAGAAAATCAGGTCATGTATTGCTCAGCATTAAACCACTGCTGCTCCCTTCCATGGATGCAGTATTATCTTAGCAAATGGAGCACCCAATGTGACCTTCGCTATATTTGTACTTCTGCTTGCTTTCACATATCTCTTCTCTGAACAAAACAGCTCTACTCTTGGAACTTTCCTTCTAGTTTCTCATTCTCTCTGTCTACTCCTAACAGTTTTCTGTTTCTGTCCCTGCTAGAACATGATGGAAGTGTGAGCTCCACCTTGAACAAGAGCTGCAGGGTCAGCATATTTCCATGTGTTAGTTCTAAGTGCATTGTAATCTCTGTGTTCTTTTCTATTTCTGTCTCTACAAAAACTAACATTGCATTTATTTCTGCACTGCCACTCTGCAATGATTTCAGTATTCAGAGCATAATGACATCTATAACCTTTTTTTTTTCAGATGTTATTTTTGCACTCAAAACATTTGGATAGCTTAAATCATTTCCCTAGTGTATATTTATTTCCTGGCATTTCTAAACTTTTTTTTTTCTTAGTATTTGAGTCTGATAGGTCATTTTAGATATCGTTCAACTCAGTTTAGTTTTGAATAGCAGAGAAAGAATAGGTCCTCTGTGGGCTGAGGCCAAGGCTACAGCTTGCAGTTCTGTATGGGTTTTGTTGGGTCCATGTGCATACTTCTATGACCTGGATGCCTACGTGTGCTGCTGTTGCGTTCCATGTGCTGAGGACTTTTTCAATTAATATTCAGCATCAAAAAAAAGCTTCATTATGTAATGTGGTATGCTGGGTTAGGCCACTAAATGCTTTGAAGTCAGAGAATAAGAAAACTAAAGCTTAGTTTATCAAGAAACATGTTAAATATTGATGTTTTGAGAAAAATGACACACTTGTCTTCAGTTCTTACAAAAAAAAAATCAGTTTACTTCTGTGAGAAGCTGTACACAGGCAGCAGAACAAGCCTAACAAGGAGAAATCGAGTCACTGGTGAAACCAGCCCTATTTGATGATGATGCCTTTCTGTATTCCTTGGGGCTTAGAACAGCAAGTGGGGAGACTGAAGAGTATATGAACCAGACTTGCCACCTGGTTGCTCACATCAGTGTATTCCCCAGCTGACCCTCCATGCTTCTTGCAGAAGCATTTTTGCTTTTTGAGAAAAGTAAGATGCAAGGTTATCTGCAGTGTGATATTTGTGCCCTCTTCCTGTCTGTGCACTACTGCTTAAGACTGCAATCCTGTGCCATATTTGCCTCAATGCTGTATCAACAAAATCCTATGATTTTGCATAAGTAGGTGACATGTAGTTATTTACACATGGGTAACCTGCAGTGAACTAAATACAAATTACCTCCAAGCAAACTGCTTCCTGTTACCCCAGTGAGGATGCAGGGTCCCTTTGCTCAACATCCTACGCGTAGAGACTAATTAGGACCTGAGAACACTTCAGTACTAACTGCAAAGTGCTCCCACTGGCTTCACCAAAAGCTAAAGAGTCCCAGACACCACAGGGCTTTAGCAGTCCAGAAATGTGCCTGTTACTGGGGATTGGTGAGGGCTATTATTTTAGGGAACTGCTTCTGTGT